AAAAAAAAAAAAGTAAACAGTGAGAAATGGAGTCCCCTTTGTCTGGAGGGGGAACGGCTGGCTGGGAGGAGGATGTCAATGGGAGGCTGAGGGGAGATAGCTGCAGGGACTGCAGCAGCCATGGAGGGCAGGACAGAGGTGGATGTGGGAGCACTAGTGGACAGGCCATGTGTACATGGAGGATACTCAAAAGGCAAGGACTGTCTGACACTTGCAAACCCGCACCACCTCCCCTCCTGCCTCTAGGGCACTAGGCTCTTGAAGAAATATATACTTACCCATGTTTGAAAGGTTGACAGGTCTTCTGAGAGTTTGAAGGGGTATTTTCTGTTGTTCAATTGTGAACACATTTGGTTGCAATTTTGAAGACTTTTCTTCTAGAACTTTTCATGTCCTTTTAGCTGAGAACACTCCTGAGCATGAAAGTCTCTGTGCTGCTGCCCTTTGGGTACGTTGGAAAAAAATAGACTGCTAATCCTACGCGCCTGCTTTCAATTCTGCCCACATGAGTTTGGTGCAGGAGGTTTGTTCCCTCTGAATATTTCTACGCAATCTTCAAAACCTGCATTTTTTTATACTAGCACATCTCTGCTGTTGGCATCTTAATGTACACACACATACACACACACACACACACACACACGTTGGGGCTCCATAGTCCTACCATTTGTGTTCTCAAAGGGAAGAGTTGGCAAGGGTGAGCTAGGATGACCACTAGATGACAGTATATAAAACACTTCTTAGATGCTCAGGTGAATGAAGTTTGAAAACTGCCCAGAGCTGCGATTCCCAGATTCTCATCTGTAAAATTTTTTAAAAAGAAAAAGAAGGCCGAGTGTGGTGGCTCATGCCTGTAATACCAGCACTTTGGGAGGCTGCAGTGAAAGAATTGCTTGAGTACAATTTGAGACCAGTCATAGTGAGACCCTATCTCTACAAAAAATAAAAAAATTAGCCAGGTGTGGTGGCACACACCTGTGGACCCAGCTTCTTGGGAGGCTGAGGTGGGAGCATTGATTGAGCCTGGAGGTTGAGGCTGCAGTGAGCCATGATCACACTGTGTGGGCAACAAAACAAGACTCTGGGCGTTCCAGCTTGGGCAACGAAATGAGACCCTGCCTTTAAAAAAGAAAACAGGAGAGAGCCATTGACTTGCCAAGTTTTTATTTTGCCAGGGGACATCATTAAGATATAAATCAACTTCCACTGCTCCCTAAGGGAAACATTTTAGTCATGAAGAAATAGAAAGGACAGAATCTCAAAACAAGCAATTATCTTGTAAACCCCAAATGTAGCTTTATGATAAACTTACCACACTGTCCTTTTGTGCCCATTTTGATGCAGACCAGTGAAAGAATCATCATGAACAAGCATTTGGGAAATAAACCTAGAGGAAGATTTATAATTCCAGGTTGTGTTTCCATGAGTGAAATTAAGACAATTGATCTTGTGGTATGTTATCTTCAAAATGAATCTAAGAGCTAAGTAAAGTTTCAGTCCAGAGGCACAAAGAAGAAACAGGGATTGCCATTTGATAAAACTAACTGCTGTGGTCTGAATGTCCCCCAAATTCGTGTGTTGAAACTTAATCTCTACTGCATTGTCTTAAGAGGTGGGGCCTTTGGGAAGTGGTTAAGTTGTGAGGGCTCCACCCTCATGAAGAGTTTAGTGCCTTATAAAAGGGTTGGAAGGAGCCAGCTTAGACTCCTCTGTTGCTCTTCCACCACGTGACAACACCTAGATGGCCTCATCTATGAGGAAGGAATGAGCCTTCATCAGACACTGAACCTACCAGCACCTTGATCTTGGACTTCCCAACCTCCAGAACTGGGAGAAATAAATTCCTTTTCTTTATAAATTACCCAGTCTCAGGTATTTTGTTATAGCAGCAGAAATGGACTAGGACACTCACTAAGATGAGGCGAGCACACAGGAATCACTGCATATGTACTGGGTGTGTTGCTGAGCCACCTCCCTCTTCATCTGCGCCACCTCAGCCTTCTGTTTGTCAGGATCAAAACTGATGATTGCTAAGCCTCCTTGGCCCTAGGGATGGGGTCGTTGAGCTGAACCTCTCCTGAACCAGGCCTGTCGGAACTGCATTCAGGTTCCAGGCTGGTGGGGAGGGTCAGCTCACGCTCTCCCTCCTGCCATCTTGCTTGACCTCACCAAAGAATTCTGAACCAGAACACGGGTGTGCAACCTTCTGTGGCAGAGATGGGTGAAGTGAGATGCTATGCCCTGTTAAACGATGTGCTAAACACTAATATCGTGAGTCAAATTCTAACCTTCAATTAGAGAGCCCTGATTTCAAATTCTGGGGCTTGGGCAAGTCACTTCACCTTTCTAATATTCAGCCTTCTTGTTTGAAAATCAGGCCATTTGAACACCTACCTCTTAAAGCCATTGTGAGATTAAACGAGATAATCTACATAAAGTATATAATGTAGCACTTACTGTGTGTCCAATGTGCATTAACTAATATTAATAACATTGGTGCAGGGTGCTCCTTTCTAGAGGCAAGCAGGCTGGATCATCCTAAAAGATGCTTTGAGATGTGTGCTGAACATCATGTTTTGGAAGAAATTTGCTGCTAGTAAATCCCTACCTCTGAGTCTCTGATTTCCTTTTAACAGCGCGTACTCTACGGCTGGTCACAACGTGGAAGGAACTGGAGTGTTTGCAGCCTGAGGAGTTGCTTCTGTAGAGGAGATCTGAAGTGTCGCCTTCTGGATCCGAGAGGCCCTGCTTATTCATAAGGATGGAAATGACTTGGTATTTAAACGGTGGGGAGTCCAGTTAAGCTCTTCTCTCATTCACTATATTCAAGATCCCAGAGTAGGTATCTCCCCAGCAAAACTACACAGCCTCTCGTGAGGCTGGAGAGCACAGAGAAAACTCCAGATTACCAAATACACTACAGCGACACCACACACTGGAGCTGTGCGATGACTCACCCTGCCCGGGTAAGAAAACTCTCCCGTCACTGCTGAGAGCAGGCAACGTTAAGGGGTCCTTGGAAGGCTGTGCTTGTACTGCCACCTAGTGGTTAAAAACAGTAAGGCCCGCTCTGGGAAGGGTCCTGGATCCCATAGTCCGAGCTATGCAGTCAATCATTAAGTCAGCATCTTCCTCATGAAAATTTAATAAGATGAATATGTTATTGAAAACTTGGCATGCTAATTTCCTAATTTAATTTCATCATTCCCCCAACAAAGCACTGAAAAGTTTGTGAGAGTCAAAACAGAGTGAAGAGCACCAGCCTAGGGGTTCAAAGTCTCCTTTGAGTGACAACTCCCAGTGTAACTTGGAGGAAGTGGCTTAAACCTTCTGTTTTCTCTAGGAAAAAAATGGAAGTTAATTCCCCAAGTGTACCTCTCAGTAAATGGTTGTGAGGTTGAAATGTGGAGACACTTGTTCTCCTCTTTCTAGCATGCTGCTTCCCTGGCCCCATGTTCTCTGGCTTCTAAGCACACGTTCTTTGCATTTCTTTTTAATTTCTGAATTTGAGCGAAATAGTCTCTGTCTCTGGAGACCCTTTGGTTTCAGAACGTGGGTTTGTTCCCGTGAATCAACTGCTCCAGGAATATCAAACAGTGCTTACATGGGCCCGTTCTCTGTGGGTGCTTTTCTCCTTGACATAGCAACAGTTACACCAGCTCTGCCCCCAAATGTGCCAAGCTCTTGATACACAAAATTTGGGTGTTGTGTTGAAGTGATAGGTTCAAGATCCTAAGGGTCAATAGTCTGTAAACCTACTGTTAGGGAATTTTAAACTTCTCTAGTGTGGTGTGTGAGCGCAAAGGGGCATAGGACGGGAACTCTGAAGACCTTGGTCTACTCTCCAGTGCCCTTTGATTCTGGGCTCCTCACTTAACATCAGCACCCTCATCTGTAAAATGGGACTATATAATAAGAACTTCTCAGGATCGTTAAGGCGATCCAGTGAGGTAATGTTTGAGACAGTTATGTGTAAAACAGAGAGGCCCATACTGGTGTTAGTTACTGTCTTTATGATTGTTCCCTCATTTGGCACCTCTTCTATAGCAATTACGGTACTGGATTTGGGGTAACCACCATTACCTCAGGTTTACCAGGTGTATGCGTTTCCCCCCGCAAGATTTACTGTATTTAAACAATTGATGGATCCACCTACTATCATTATTTGAAGATGATGTAGTCACAGCCTATGTGGTTTTGTGAGCCAGCAAAGAACAGTTTAATGGTTCAATTAGCTCCTTGAGGAGATACATGGTGGTTGAGATATGCCAAATAAGCAGCATGCAACCTCTGTGGGGAGAAAAGAAGTCAGCCGACTTCTTGTGAAGACACAGCTTCCTGCAGAGCCAGATGTAGCTCGCATTTTCCTCTTGCTTGTTCCCAATAGCAGTGCTCAGGGGGGATAAACTTTACTTAACCTAATTAATTTTAATCACAGCTTTCAAATCTCATACTGTGAAAAGAATTACAAATTGGAATACATTAATAGAAGCCATAGTTTATGCTGCAAGCTAATCATGAAATGTGCATTTACATTTTCTGCATGAGTTTGCAATTACCATTAAAATAAAATTCCGTTATGTCCTTTTAAATTACCAAAATGTGAAGAGCAGATTGAGCCAGGCCCATTTTTGTGCTACATTACTAGACGAGTGTCTAAATTCCCAAGAATTAGACGACTTCCTCCATTTGAGTTGCAGTGAGGAATGATTTCCAGTTGTCTGCCTTGGGCAATTTCCGTTTTTAAATAATAATCTTTTAAACTGATTGTGCAAACATCTCATCCACTTTAACAAGAAGCCCTTTAAATGTAGTACAGAGAAGAAATTTTATGTATATATAAAAATTACGTGTGTATACATACATATATCTACATATGAATGATATATGCATGTAAGTTTTCATTTAAGTTCCATGTAAACTTTTATGGAGGTATACATGGAAGTAAATGCCAGCTGGTTCCCCAGAGAATCTGAGGCATTTAGAGGAAACACAGAAGGTATAAAAATAAAGCTTTAATAAAGAGTTAGTGCCCAAATTAGAATAGAATGGCAAGACGTCTGCAAAGTCAGCATGGCTTTTACGTGTGGAGGACGTGGCCATTTTGCCCCTCTTTCACATGTATCATGTTGCTCGGTCCTCACAGCAGTGATCCTGAGGTGGGCAGCACAGGTGTGATTTGATTGTCCCCATTTTACAGATGAGGAGACTGAGAGCACATCAGTGAGGAGCAGTGTGGGTCTTTCAACTCCAGGCGGAGACTCTTTTGGCAGGGAGGCTCCCTCCATCTAGAAAAACAATTTTTAAACTATCACAACTCAGTAAGGAGGGACAAGTAGGCATAAGCAGTGACTGACCACCTGCTAACATCATCCTGATACCTAAATAAAAGTGATGTAAAACACCATGGGGTGAATGCACCTTCATAATAAGTTATGCAACTTTGGCTGATTTGTTTGGCCAGCTAGCTGGACTTACGCAGACTTTGGATTTTCAGAAATCTTCTATGTATAATTATGCCTGAGAATGTTCCTAGCGTACTGCTGACTGGTTATTAGGCATGTGCAGAAATAGTACCCCACAACAACAGTGTAAGGAGGGGTAGGTAGTATCTTTTCCTCACTCATGGAATGAGGGCCTTTGTACCTACTTCAGAGGAAGGTTAGATAATTCTTTCATGGCCTGCTTCAGGGCAGAATGGCAGGAGAAGGTCAGAGAGACCTTCCTGCTTCTGTTTTCTAAAATGCTGAGGTGCTATGTATTGTGGTAGCATGTCCTGAGCTTCATCTTCATCAACAGCCACCACCACCACAACAATAGTAGTAAATAGCAGCTACCAAGTGTTGATTGCTTACTGTGTTCTAGACACCTTGTCATGTGATAGTCTTTTCCATTTAGTTCTTTGTTGATATGGTTTGGCTCTGTGTCCCCACCTAAATCTCTCTTTGAATTGTAATCCCCATAGGATCACCACATGTTTAGGGAGAAACCTGGTGGGAAGTGATTGGATTATGGGGACAGTTTCCCCATGAGCCTTGCTCGTGATAGTGAGTGAGTTCTCACAAGATCTGATGGTTTTATAAGAGGCTCTTCCCCTTTCACTCATTTGCTGTCTTTCTTGCCTGCCACCATGTAAGATGTGACTTTGCTTCTCTCTCATCCTCCATTATGATTGTAAGTTTCCTGAGGCCTCCCCAGCCATGTGGAACTGTGAGTCAATTAAACCCCTTTCTTTATAAATTACCCAGTATTGGGTATGTCTTCATAGCAGTGTGATAATGAACTAATACATCTGTCTTCTTTTTTCTCAGGTAAATATTCCATTTCTGCCAAGATGCCCACCAACCAGTGCATGCCAAGACTATGAGGCGCCATGAATCCCTGGCTGGCTCACGTGAAGGCAAATCCCCTTCAGGACCAGGAAGACCAGGTCACTTTGTCCAAAGGTGGTCCAGTTCCAGATACTCAGGTCTTCTTTAGATGTCACCTTCTCTTGACCTGCTTTCTCTTGGCCTAGCACCTCTTTCAGTCATCACTGATATCACTTGCTTTCAGATTCAGATATCTAAAGACCCTCCCCTAGGGCACAACGTCCTGTATCATCCATCTTTATGAAGATAGTGCACAGTGGGGGCAGGGGGTACCTGAAAGACCTGGGCTTTCACATTGTGCAGACCTGGGTGTGAGCTGAGCTCCACTGTGTGCCAGCTGAGATTGGGTGATTTGCTGAACTGCTCTGCACTTCAAGTTTCTCATCTGTTAGCAGGGATTTAAAATCTGTTTTGCAAGGATGTTGTGTGGAGATGAAATGTGACATCTATGTGATGCATGCAAACAGTCCCTGGCACAAAATCAGTGCTTGATGCCATGACTCAGAGGCTCTGCCTGGTCCCTTGTCCAAGCTCGTCTATCTTTCTTTTTATGTCCCTTAGTATCTTTCTTAGCTCCTTCCATAGGAGATATCGGGGCCCATTTTCTGAGCAAGCACCAGCTCCATCCCACAATTTCTACCTCCTTCCTCCCCACTTTCCTCCCCACCATCCAATTCTGGGTCCGTGGACTTAGTTACATGCTAGTCAGCTCTCTGCCAGCCCTGAGGGCCTGGCTGGACTCCTGCTGGATGGGACCCTGTGCCTCGGGTGCAGGGAGGATCTGGACAATCTTCCAGCAGCCTCTGCACTGTTGGCCATGGAGTTGAGGGCAGTGAATCCCTATGGTTCGTCTCAGTTGCTGTGCCATCAAGACTGGGGGATGGGGTGGGCAGCGAGTGGATTAGATCTCAATATTCAAGTGTTGTCTGTGGACCGGCAGCACTGGCGGTCACCTTGGAGCTTGTTAGAAATGATAAATCTTGGCCCACTGAATCAGAATCTTCATCTTAACAAGATTTCCAGTCATTCCTTCTGAGCCCTGGGTTGGCCCCTAGTGGGCAAATGCCCCTCAAATCACTACACAGGAGAACTGTTGGCAAGATAATTCTTCCCTCCAGGGTCAGCAAAGGTATCTGCAAATCCTTCAGTAGGGGTGTTTGTGTTTAAAACACGCACTAAAGTCTAATTTATTTATGCAGGAATCATTTTTAAATTTCTTTCCAGATTGTTAAAGTAAACCTTTGAATCCTGACCCATCTGTGATGTAAGATGTGGCTGGCCTTGCTTCATGCATAGAAGTCACACCCCACAATAACAATGTAGGGGAGGGAAGGTAATATCGTTTCCTCACCCATGGAACGAGGGCCTTATGACCTACTTTAGGGGAAGCTCAGGGAATTCTTTTATGGTCTGCTTCAGGTTAGCAGGCCTGTGCCCATGTCATTCAGTAAAGTCTCCCTAAACCATAGCCACACTGACCCTTTCTCATTACGGAGACAGAATCACACACACATACACACACAGGCCATGACATGATGTTTTCCACCCCCGAACCTGTGCTTATATGTTATCTCTTCTGCCTGGGATGTCCTTGCTGTCCTTTGGGTGAATTTTAGTCATCCTTTAAGTTTCATTTAAAGTGTCAGCTCAGTCACAGTGCCCTATGTAAGATGGCTGCGTGATGGTGTTTCTGCTGTTACCACATTGCATTCCAGTGTTCTGTTGATGGTGTGATCACCTCCTGGAAACATTGAACTCAGTGAGGGCAAGTTCTGTGTTGTATTTATTCATCTTTGTATCTCCAACACCCAGCACAATGACAGGCACGCTGGAGATGCCCCATAGACGCTTATTGCATATGCAGAAAAAAAGCTTAGCTTGCTGTGATGGCTTTTTGTTTTGTCCTTTGAAGTTTAATCAGAATAAAAGAAAATAACTGCAGACTCTAAACGTTTGGGAAGTTTCTGTAAAACCTTACAACCCAAATGAAGAAAAAAGATCAAAGGGAAATTAGACAGCAATTTGTTTTAAAAAAATGTAGTGGCATTTTAATTAGAGAATATTCTTCTCATTGAAATGAGAAACTCCCAGGGAAATACTTGATGTGTTAGAGTCTCCCTCCTCACATTTTTTTCTCCAGCTATTACAGGACCTGCTGAGCAGGCTTTGTGAAGGAAAGCTCCTAGGATGCTGCACAATGAAGACACTCAGCACTTACACAGCGCTCTGCTCTTGCCACAATTAAGCCTTTCACTTCTCCCGGCCCAGTGGGGGGTGAAGCCCGAGTTATTGACTGAATTTGATGGCTAAGAGGCCCTGAGGATAAATGACTTGTTCGAGTCTAGGCAACTGGACTGTCACAGGCAGAATTCAGAGTTTTGGACCTGCTTCTCATGCCAAGCAGTTTGTTCTGACCTCAGAAGGGAATCCCTTTTTGATAAGCAATGCACAAGGACCCCAAAGAGTCCCCAGAAGGCAGTCGTTTGGAGGGGATCACTGGGTGTCACAAATTGGTAACATTTTTGAAACTCAATATGGGAATGACTGTAGGATTGCCATCTTTTAATCTTGCTAATTAGGAATACGAAGAAAATATATGGCCAGAATTATGCCTTAAAGAAAATAAATGTTTTATACTAAAAAATAAGGAACTGTTTCAGAATAAAGCCCAGGTTTTTTTTTTTAATTGAATATAGTTTTATTAAAAACACAGCACATTGTAGTTATTTTTCTCATTTTACAGGAGACCAGTGAAAACTGGCAGTAGTTTAGATTAGTGTTTGGGAATGGCTGTTTTTAACTTAATATGCTAGATCCCTGTTTTCTGTAGAAACGCCAAAGCCAACCTTCTGTAGCAGAAAAGTGAGTTAAGATTCACCTGCTGGCATTCTATGCCCAGGGCAGTCACCTGCTTCCTCTTTCCGCAACTATGGAAGTAGGCGTTACTTGACATTCTGAAAGTACTGTCAGAAAGTAATTCTGACAGCACTTTCCATAATTGGTGTGTTGTGGCTCTGCTTCATGTTCACTAGAGAGAGAAGATGGAAGACTAAGGAAGCCTCGATGTAATCTTTCTTAGTGAGTTTTAGGTAGGAGTAGGTGATATAGTTTGGCTGTGTCTCCACCCAAATCTTACCTTGAATTGTAACTTCCACAATTCCCAAGTGTTGTGGGAGGGACCTGGTGGAAGGTGTTTGAATCATGGGGACAGGTCTTTCTCGTGCTGTTCTCACAATGGTGAATAAGTCTCAGGAGATTTGATCATTTTATAAAGAGGGGTTTCCCTGCACAAGCTTTCTATCTTTGCCTGCTGCCATCCATGCAAGACATTACTTGCTCCTCCTTCCCTTCTGCCATGACTGTGAGCCCAACCCCCCCAGCTATGTGGAACTGTACATCCAATAAACCCCCTTTTCCTGTATAAATTACCTAGTCTCAGGTATGTCTTTATCAGCAGTGTGAAAGCAAAACAAAAGTTTTGAGCTTATATTCCACAGGGGAAATAGAAAGAGGTTGACGCTGCAGTGAACTGTGATAGGGCCACTGTCCTCCAGACTGGGTGATGGAGTGAGACTCTGTCTCTTCAAAAAAATGTAAAGAAGAAAAATTAAAAAATCTCCCTAAACTCTTTGTACAAGCTATCCTTCTATCCTCCAAGCTGTCCTGGGTGTGGGCCAAACTGATTTTGGGAGAAATTTAAAGTTTAAATATAACAACACTTCCCAAAAACAAAACTGCCCTTGTAAAACTAATACAAGTCCGCCAGGTTAAGGGGATGGGAGAGGTCACAAGATTTGAAATGTCCCCAATTACTCGTGTAATTAATATCACTATTGTAGAACCTAAGATTGGCCTTTTGAGATCTTTTCAGGCTTTTGCATTTCTGATGACTGGATGGCCCCACCTGGACCTGGACCCAACCAGTTCTGTGGCCCCAACCCAGAAGGGGACTCAGCACATAAGGACCCTTTTCCACACCCCTATGATTGCATCCCCCAACAATCAGCAGCACCCTTTCCCTAGGCCCCTGCCCACCAAACCACCTGAAAACCCCCCAACCTTCTAGCCTCTGGAGAGATTGATTTGAATAATAACTCCTTCCCCTGCTTGGTGTGCCAGTCTCACCTCAGTTAAACTCTTTCTTTATTGCAATGCCATGGTGTCAGTGGATTGATTTTGTCCGTGCAGCAGGCAGGAAGAACCTGTGGGGCAATTACATGAAGGAGGACAATTATGGATTTTTCTTTTATGTTTTCTAAGTTTTGTTACTGTATTTATATTACTTTTAGGATTTTAAGTAATTTTGTAATGATAGAGAAATGAGAAAAATTGAGAAATTGCACCTTACTGATTGAATTTTCCAAAGATGGTCACAAGATTGCCACTGCTGCATGCTCCTCTTCCCATGGGACCTTAACACTCCTCCTTTGAGCTCCTCCCCCAAAACCCAGACAGACCTTTGTCACTGCCTCAGCTGAACATAGTAGAAGTGATGTTACTGGAAAGGGGTCCTGATCCACACCCCAAGAAGAGAGGGTGCTTGGCCTCGCACAAGAAAGAATTTGGGGTGAGTTCACAGAGTAAAGTGAAAGCAAATTTATTAAGAAAGTAAAGGAGCAGAAGAATAGCTACTTGGAGGAAAAGGATGGGCAATTTCCAGAACTGAGGGTTCCTCCCATTTTTAGACAATACAGGGTAACTTCTTGATGTTGCCCTGGCATTTGTAAATGGTCATAGTGCTGGTGGGAGTGCCTTTTGGCATGTAAATGCATTATAATTAATGTATAATGAGCAGTGAGGGTGACCAGAGGTCATTTTTATCACCATCTTGGTTTTGGCGGGTTTTGCCTGGCTTCTACGCCGCTTCCAGTTTTATCAACAAGGTCTTTGTGACTTGTATCTTGTGCTGACCTCCTATCTCATCCTATGACTAAAAATGCCTAACCTCCTGAGAATGCAGCCCAATGGGTCTCAGCCTCATTTTACCCAGCCCCTATTCAAGAGGAAGTCACTCTGGGTCCAAGGCCTCTGGCAGTGACACAATGTAACTTGTGAGGCTAGTGTTAAGTACAGTTTACAGGAGTTCACTATTTTGGACTGAGCTCCTGCAGACTCAACAGACCAAACCAAAACAGCATCACTCATGCCAAAGTTTCATATCACCACACCAATATTTGTCTGACCTTCCCAGGAATCAGGAAAGAGAGAGAAATAATAGCCAAATTCTGAAACAGATCACTTTTGGCCAGCAGGATAGGAAAATCCACTCTGCTTTACAAGGAAAGTAGCTTTGAAATGACCAATCTGCTTTTTGTTCCTTGTTTCTGCCTTCTCTGGCCTTTTTCTCTCAACTGTCCATGTTGCAGAGTGGCGTTCTTGGAACCTTTTCTTGTTCTGAGGATTACTTAATTCTCAAGTCATTCTTTGCTCAAAGATACTCTGTTAAATTTATTTTGGGTAAAGTTTCTCTTCTACTGTTAGATTGTAAAAATTCTATATACTTCTGCTTTGCACCTTGGAATGTGGCCCTTTGATGTGGCTGCCGCATTATGAGGAAGTGCAAAGCAGCTGCCCACATGGAGGGTCCACAGATAGGTGTTCCGATCAACCGTCCAGGTGAGGACCCAGATTCAAGTGCTGGACACATAAGTGAAGAAACCTCCAGATGATTCCAGCTTCCAGCTATTGAGTCTTTGAGTCTTTCCAGAGGGGGCCTCCGATGCCATGGAGCAGACACAGGTGTCCCTTCTGTGCCAAAGTCAAATTCCTGCTGCATAGAATCCCTCATTCTAAGCATGATTAACTGGCTGTTTTGTATCATTAAGGGTTGTGGTTTGTTTCACAGAAGTATATGTATGTTATAACTCTCTTTTAGTAAGAGAAAGCAAGCAAAGCAAAAACAAAACCCAACACTCCTGAACATCTGCATATATATTTTTAAAGTAAAAAATGTTATGTTAAAATATACATAAGGTTTAACTTTTTTAACTCCTTTTAAGTACACAGATTTATAGCATTAAGTATGTTCACATTGTTGTGCAACCATTACCACTGTCTGTCTCTGGAATTTTTTCCAACTTCCCAAACTGCAACTCTATACTCATGAAACAATAATTCTCCAGTCCCCTCCTCAGAACCCTTGGTGAGCACGATTTAACTTTCTATTTCTATAAATTTGGCTACTCTAGAAACCTCTTAGAAGTGGAGTCATATGGTGTTTGTCCTCTTGTGACTGGCTTATTTCACTTAGCCTAATATAGGTTCATCCCTGTTGTAGCATGTGTCAGAACTTCCTTTATTTTTAAAGCTGAATAATATTCCACTGTATGTATATACAAACTCCTGGGCTCAAGTGGTCCTTCCCCTCAACCTCCCAACATGCAGGGATTATAGGTGTGAGCCCCTGCACCCGGCCCCATTTCCTTTTCTATTCATCCATCAATGGACACTTTTGGCCACTGTGAATAATGCTGCTATAAATATGGGTATACAAATGGGGGTTTAAGTCTCTGTTTTTAGTTCTTTTGGTTACATATCCAGAAGTAGAATTGCTGGATTATATGGCAATCCTGTTTTTAATTTTTTGAAGAACTGTCACACTATTTCCTATTGTAGCTGCCCCGTTTTATATTCCCACCAGCAGTGCACAAGACTTCCAATTTCTTCTCATCATCACCAATACTTGCTATTATTATTCTTTTTATAAAAGGCATCCTAAAGTATGTGAAGTGGTATCTCGGTGTGAGATCTCATTCTGATTCATGTTTTCCTAATGACTAGTGATGTTGAGTATGTTCTCATGTGTTTATTGGCCATTTGTATATTTTCTTTGGATAAATGTTTATTCAAGCCCTTTGCCCATTTTTAAATTAAGTTGTGTGGTTTTTGCTTGGAAATATTCTTTTAAATGTATATATAGACAAGGCAGAGGTATAGAAACAACAGGCTGTTACCTCAGAGAGTGTGTGTTGAGGTGGAAGAAGAGCAAACGTGATTCCTTTCTGTCTTTTATGTAATTGTACTGGAGGGCTCCACATATTACCAGCATGTGTTACTAACTGAATAAAGAAAAACAATTTAAAGAAATTATCAGTAAAAAGTCATCCTGTTTAAGTATCTCAAAATGTCTAACTTGAAGTTTTTAATGGTATAGCCAAGAAAATGAAAGAATCTTGAGCTGAACCTCCACACAGATTTCATTGGTAAAATTTTAATAATGAGAAGAAAACTTCCCTTCATTGTTCTAGTCATAGATCCTTGGCCTGCCTTTTCCACCTCCCCCCTCCTTCCTTCTGGAAAGAGCTCAGACTAAGAGAAGAGCCTGTCTCTCTTTAAAGAGACTATTTGTTTCCATGGTAACTTGCCTTCTTCATCTTCAGAGCTGTAAACTGGGAAATTCCATTAGAGGCTTATCCGGGCAGTTGCTTTTGAAACGGTGTCTGATATTAGCTGTCTGCTTCATTCACCTTTGCTGCTCAGTAATCTTTTGGATTTGGTGATTTTGTTTCTATCAAATGAAGGGAGTAAAATAAAACAATATGAAGCTGATTATAATCGGTCTTGGTGGGCCAGCTGTGCACTCTTGTTAGGCCCTGTGGTGGGACCATCATGGTGTGGCCTCCCAGGTGACTGTGATCTGTACAGCTCAGGCCCTGTGAAGCCCTGCACACAGAGCTGGCCTGATTCAAGATGCCCCATGAGGTCATCTGGAGAAGAAATAGGAACCAACTCTGTTGTCAAAAATGACTTTGATTGTTAGTAGATTTCAAGTTTTATCTGTAGGATTCTGATTTGGGCACATGGAGATGCTAATACTGCTGGCTGTGAAAGCAACCGTACTTCAAATAGCTGCAAATAAAGCAAATAACCAGATTACCTGAGGCTAATGATTTTAATTTTTCTAGTAGCACCTATGATTATAAAGCTGCATTTATTGGCTATTGACATAGAAGGCTTGGGGGATTTTTATTGACCAGCATGGTTTATATGCATAAAATCTATATCATTTTTTGTTTCTCCAGATCCATAAAGGACATTTAAACAACAGTTAATAAACATAGAAAATATCTTCAAAACACCTTTTCTATTCAGGAAATTCAGTTACTTTATTCCTCTTGATAACAACTTCATCTGATTATATTGACAAAAATAACATTATATTTGGTTTTCCATTTATTTATTTATTTAGACACAGGGTCTCACTCTGTTGTCCAGGCTGGAGTGCAGTGGCATGATCATGGCTTACTGCAGCCTTGAATTCCTCGGCTCAAGTGATCCTCCTTCCTTGGCCTCCCAAAGTGTTGGGATTACAGGTATGAGCTACTGCACCTGGCCCGGTTTTCCTTTTTTCAAAAAAGCTAATTGCTGGCCGGGTGTGGTGGCTCATGCCTGTAATCCCAGCACTTTGGGAGGCCAAGGCAGGTGGATCACAAGGTTAGGAGTTCGAGACCAGCCTGGCCAACATGGTGAAACCCCGTCTCTACTAAATATAAAAAAATTAGCTGGGCCTGGTGTTGTGCACCTGTAAATCCCAGCTACTTGGGAGGCTGAGGCAGGAGAATCGCTCGAACCCGGGAAGCAGAGGTTGCAGTGAGCCAAGATCACGCCATTGCACTCCAGCCTGGATGAGAGGGCGAGACTCCATCTCAAAAAAAAAAAAAAAAAAGCTAATTGCTAATTGCTGATCAATAGTATACTTCCAACTTTTGAACACATTTCCTAGGTAAAATATTTATATTTAAAAGTAATGTTTAGATTGAATGACGAAAAGGTTCTGGAGATGGATGGTGGTGATGGTACAATGTGAATGTACATAATGTTACTGAACTCTATAGTTTAAAGTGGTTGAATGGTAAATTTTATGTTATGTATATTTTACCACAATAAAAATAATATTCAGAATTGTACAACTGGCAAATATGAAAGTATCTGCAATTGCTATGGAAAAGCATATTAACTGAAGCATAATTTGATGAGAGTCTTAAGCTCTTAACTTTTTATGTAGCTTTCCTTCCTCCTTAAACTTAGACTCCCAAGAAAATTCCAAATTTTGGTTTCCTTTGGCCTCTTCAGTTTTGAAGCATTTGAATGCATGCTTCCTTTTTCCCATGAGAGAGCATAAAAATACTATATTTTGTAGCCCTTATCTCTAGAGACATTTTTGTATTCCTTTGTTCTCAATCATTGCCTTGGAGAAGTTCACCGTCTTATAAGAGGAATCACAAAACAAGAATCATCTCAGAAATGTAGGGATCTCTGTGCAAACTTGTCCATCATCTTGCCAAGGCAGGTGTCTTAGTTCTTTTTGTTCTGTCATGACAGAATACCTGAGACTGGGCAATTTATAAACAACAGAGATTTGTTTCTTACATTTCTGGAGGCTGAGAAGTCTGAGGTTGAGGGGCCTACATTCTATTCAGTAATGAGTAGCTCTCTACTCATAGGCTGCCCGTTCCACTTTGATCAGGCTCATTTACTAAACATTCACTCAACAGTTTGTCTTGACATTGTGCAGGGGGTACTGGGGATACCAAAGGGAGTGAGATAGATGTGGTCTGACTCTCATAAAGTTTACATTAGAATGTTCTTCTATTTTTTTAATTGAAACTTTGTCCATTTACCTTAGGCCCATTCATTCTAGTTACGACCTCAGAGTCATAAAGAATGCACAGCACTGTGCACTGTGCCAAAAGCCCTATTGGCTTCATTTCTTTTGCTCCTCACCAGAATCCTATGAGGCAGGGAACATCACTGTCTCAATTTCACCACTGAAGAAACTAAGACTTAAAAGGGTAGGTATCTTGCCCAAGATCATACAGCTAGTATCTGTTTCTCCATTCACATTAATTCATCATTCATTCATTCAGCAAACCTTGGTTGAGAATCTACTATATACTTTGGCAATGTCAAGAAAACTTGATAGCTGCCCGTAGAAACTCACAGCCCAGCGGGGGAAGAAGTCAAGCAAACAGGTCTACTGCAGTGTGCTGTGCAGTGTGAGGGAGCCATGCTCTGCGGCGATGACAGCTGGCAGGCCGGTCTCTCACCCGGTCGAAGAGTTCAGTCAGGCTCCTGATTAGCACAGTGGCCCCTATTGGTCTCTGTAACACCTCACCCCTCCAATCCACCCACCACCCTGCATCCGGAGTGGTCTGTCTAGACTCACAGTTAAGATCTGTCTAGACTGATCTGTCACATTCACTCATTTTTCATTTAGCCAACAAATATTTTTGAGTATCTACTTTGTTAGCCCTTGGAGATACAGTGGTGAGTAAACCAGGCTTGGCTGGGACCTTCACAGAGCTTGCAAGGCAGGTAAAAAACAGAAACAGGAAGATGCACAGAAACATTAAAAAAAAAAAAAGTTGGAAGGCACATAGCCACTGTGGAAGACAGTTTGGAGGTTTCTCAAAACATAAAGCATAGCGTTACTAAATCACCAGCAATTCTACTCTTAGGTATATACTCAGAGGAATTGGAAACAGGTACTCAAACAAATGTATCTACAACACTTGAAGGTTCACAGCAGCACTAGTCACAATGGCCAAAAGGAAGAAGGAATCCGGATGTCCATCAATGATGAATGCATAAGCAAAATGTGGTCTGTTCTTACAATGAATGTTACTGAGTCATAGGAAAGAAGGAAGCAATGATATAGGCTAAACAGAGACAAATCTTAAAAATATTATGCTAAGTGAAAGAAGCTAGACACAGAAGGTTATATATGATAGGA